AGAGGATAAGAGTGGTCTAAGAAAAGATGAAAAAGGCACAGGATCTCCAAAAGAGTTTTGCCTATCAGAGAAGACCATTAAAGTTTGAAGAGTGAGACCATATGTTCTTAAAAGTTATCCTTAAGCTTTGACTAAATGAGACTGACGGGTGACTTTCTTAGGGTCTCCCCAAGTAACGGGTGTTAGCCCTGTCTGACAGGTGACACCCCCTCAAATCGTCATCCTGACCGTCTCAACCCCCGTTTTAGCGTAGAAAATATTTTATTCGAGTAGTTTTGCCCCTTAAGAGATTTGTACGCTATGATTGAATGGTTATCTTTCGACGTAAGACTAATCAAAATAAAAAAATTATACACTAAATAAAATCGAGTGGAGCCAATATTAGTTGTACATGCTAAATTTCAATTGGAAGGGTAATAATTAATAACAGCAGGGCTACGTGCTAAGTCCAACATATAATTAATTTAAGAGTTTGGTCTAATATCTAATGTGGTAGACAATAATTAAAAAATATATTTAAAAGTTTATTTGTGAAATTAATTAATATGTAGGAATGTTTTTTTCTCATATAAGAGAAATTAAAAATAATGTAGTATGCCGTTTTTAATTTGATTTATTTTATCTAAATTACACAATATTGTTTTATAATAATGTAATTATTTGTTTTATTATAGAGTTTTAGTCATTTCAATATATTTTATATTAAATGAATATAATTTATTGAATATGTGTTTTCTATAATAATGTTTAGAATTTAATTGAAATACACTAACGAATATTTTTTTAAAATATGAAGTTTTTTTAAACTGTTCTGTTTTTTTTTCCACTACTTTTTTTAGAAAACTTCACCAGTTTTTTTTTTTTACTTAAAAAAGGGTTTTGTTTAATATAATTTTTAAAAATAAAAAATCACTACTTTTTAAAACCTATAATATTTCTATTAACTAATTACAGTTTGTGATGATATGAGTGGTTAAAATCCATAGATTTCTTCTACTAAATAATTCAAATTTTTTACTCAAATATTTCACTTTTTCAAAAATTAATTCTAAAATAATCCACTTTTTAGATTATTTTCTAAAGAACTTCAGTTTAAGAAAAAATTAAGTATTGTCTTCATATCAATCGGCAACAGTATTGTAGGTTTAAGAGGTGTCTCCAATTCAATTGGAGACAATGTGTTAAATTTGAATGTTATTGTCAATTCATTTAGAGACAAGGTGTAATCATAAAATTTTAAGCAAAAATAATTAACATTAATAATTAACTAAAAATAATATTACATAAATTAATGATGACGATCAGGCTGATCATACCGCCCATCAGTTCCACATTTCATAGGTACCCTCACTCGTTGTCCTCGTTTTTTATTCACTCCAGGTATTTGAGAATTTGAGGTCTCAGGAATATTAGCAGGATCCCTAAGAAGTTATTGCATTTTTCAGAAGTCTTGTGTATGGAGCGACGACACATTTTCGTAACTGAGTTCGTGACCCATGGCAGAGTAGTTGGGATGTGATGAAGTGGACATTGGTGTGTGGCTTGGACGATTGAAGGTCTCAGGAATATCAGCAGGATCCCTAAGAAGTTATTGCATTTTTCAGAAGTCTTGTGTATGGAGCGACGACACATTTTCGTAACTGAGTTTGTGACCCATGGCAGAGTAGTTGGGATGTGATGAAGTGGACATTGGTGTGTGGCTTGGACGATTGAAGGAGGACATTAGTGTGAAAGATTCGTTGGTGAAATGTTGAAATTTTAGGTGTCTTGATAATAGTTATTTTGTTGGAGATGGTATAGGGGACACTTTTGGTATTGTGGGTGAGTGTCTGACATGTTTGGCTTGTGGATTTGTTTGTGGGTCGGTAACTTGCACCCTTGTCATTCATGTTATTTTTGTTATTCTCAACTCGCACTCACCTACGCAGTGCATCAAGTGTCTCAATACTTCGAATTTTTCGCCTTCAGGTATGTCTCCGTCTAACCAACGATTCAACTCCCTTTGTTGTTGCTTGAAACTTTGGATGTTCCAGAAGAGCATTTTTATCGGAGGTTTCTCTCTCGAATAAAATCACTTTCCCATAGTGGCGAAGATACATGTTATCACTAATAAAAGAATATAAAAAAAAATATGAAAACAATTGATCACGTCACCTCTATTTATAGTAAAATTACAAATTGCACTCTGTCTCCAAATGAATTGGCGACAACATTCAAATTTAACACACTGTCTCCAATTGAATTTGAGACACCATGTGGTGTCTCTAATCTAATTAGTGACACCTATTTATCCTACAAAATAGTCGCTAATTTATATAGAGACAAACACTCTATGATTTTCCAAAAGTGAGATACTTTAGAAAATAAATTAAAAAATAGATTATTTTGAAAAAAAAATTGAAAAAGTGAGATATTTGAATAAAAAATTTAAATAACTCATTCTTAAAATAAAAGATTTTTTTTACACCTAATTTTTTCAATGCAAGAAATAATTGATATATAAATTTTGTACGAAATAAAAATCATCAATATTGCAAATTTCAGCTAAAGAACTTTGAAATACATTTGATAGGGCTGATATATTCTCTTTCTTTCTTAACTTTTCATTTTTCTCCTTTTGTTTTGCCTCTAAACATCACTTGTAAGTTTGTTTAATATCAAGTTAAACACTTCTATTAAAATGTTAGCCTTTTTGAAAATTAAAATCATTTTATCTTCATTTTTATTAGTTTAAGAACTAATACAAAATAGTAAAACATATAATTTAGTTTAGAAAGAAATCTTTCCAGCATTAAAAATAGATTTTTTTTATAGGCGAAAAAAGATATATTAATAAAGAGTAATAGGAGTATTCCAACTCCATAAACAAAAACCAACACCAAATGAATTCAATTACAAGAAATCAAAAGGGTAGTTGAGCCATTTATACTATGAGCACTTAGGATTGTGTTTATGCCTAAGAGATACTTATCACCAAGAGGATAGTATAATTCTATCTACAAAAACATTTGGATAACTCATCTCGTCATCAAAAATAATATGATTCCTAGAACACCAAATACACCAACCAGACGCAAGTTAAGCACGCAGTAGGCTTAGAGCAACTCCGTAACAACGAGACCGCCTATTCAAAAAGGTGTTTATGATACTCCCGTTCCACCAAACAAGGAAATTCAACCCAATTTGCTACTTCAATCAAACCAAACATATTCTCGGACACAAAAAGAAAAGATGAGAATTATCCTCGATGCTACAAAAATAAAACACGCAAATCTTTTCATGAGAGTTCAAGATAATCTCTCTACGGACCAGGTCGGTTTTCGTAGGTGGTCTATCCAACCACAACCGTCAAGACTAGATTTTCACCTTTAATGGAATTTTAGATTGCCAAATTAATTCCAACCATCTTTCAATCAACGTCCAAACCATGCCCAACCGTACTGAGATGTAATGCCCCATAGCATGATTTAACCGAAAAAATAATATTAGATGAAATTGGCTAAATTAATTTGTCATGGCAGTGAATTACTGGTTCGGTATCTTGCAGGATCAACTCAGAGCACTATATTCTTGTATGCCTTCCACACCCACCAAGTTATTCATGAAATTGATGTTCCACAAAAAGTTGTTACCATTCCAACTACAAAAACTTTGTCGATCCTCGACAGGATCATGCCTATTGGCTGCAACGGCAAAAAAAGCAGGGAACAAATCCTTCATAGTGGAGCCTCCAATCCATCTTGAGTTCCAAAATAGTATAATCGCTTATATTGCAAAGTTTACAAGTCACCACATGTGAGAAACTACCTACCTCCATAGAGTCTGCGATACACATCAACTCTCGCTACCAAATGGATTGATTACTTTTAGGAACAAACGCTTCATGGGACAGAATTCTTGAACGATAGTTTCCGTATCTAGCCCCGAGCATACACGCCATAATGGTTGATCATTTGAAACAAACCTCCACAACCATCCCCGAGCATACCACGCCACAATGGTTGATCATTTGAAACAAACCTCCACAACCATTTAGATAGCAATAAAATGTTAAAAACACCAATATCTTTAATTCCTAACCCACCCAATTTCTTTGGTTTACATACTGTACTCCAACTAATTAGAGTCAATCCATCTTTCTCGCCAAACCCAACTAAAGAAATCGTCCCTGTAAGATTCTAATTTGATCCACAACCTTTCTTGAAACTTTGAAGAATGAGAGGTAGTGAATAGATAAGTTTGCCAAGACTGATTTCAAAAGTGTGACTCTCCCACTAATAGATAGCATTCTGCCCTTCCAAGTAGATAAACGAACTTTCAGCCTGTTGATAACGGATTTCCAAATCACTGCACGCCTGTCTTATGTTTTATTAATTTTACTTATTAACAATAGATGCTAAACTTTTGAACATTTGTATGCATTTTTTAGAAACACAGAAAATATACAAAAAGATAATATTATAATTTCTAAATTTACACCATCTCTATCTAATATTTCACTTTTTCTCCAACACAATTATTTAATTTAAAAGTCTCTTATTAGCAAGTCAAAATGAATATGTAGAAAATGAAAACAAAAAATTAGAGTAAACGAAATTTAAAGCATAATAAAAATGCAATAGACTAAGCTCATAATTTTGTAGCTATAAAAAACATGTTTAACCCTCAGTATTATAGTTAGTCAGCTCTCTTTCATTTTCCTCATAATAAAGAGAAGCTCTATATTAATTTATTTTTAGCTTTGCAAAATCAATGTCGATAATCTCATTTACGGATGCAGATCAGGAGAGTGCGCCAGAGCACGCTAGTACATTAACAGAAACCATTGAAGTTATACAATATGGGGCAAAATTTTCAATAGAAACTTGTACATCAGTTTCCAGAATCTATAAATGGAGCATGGGTCTTTAAATAGTAATAGTTCTTCGAGAACAGAAGCCTCTCAAAACAAACCTTATCTCTGAGAAGTTTTCTCCATTATTATACTATATTGCCTTAAATTAGGCTGCCTGTGCAACAGACTCAGATGCATCGGTATCTTTCCTGAAAATTGGATGTGCGTAAAAGAGTTAAAATCAATTAACAAAAAAATCAACTACATTTTTTGGATATGAGGAACATGATGAGAATTTGATCCACAGTTTCATTTTTCGGTTCTCAAGATTTTCGAAGGAAAAGATGAGTATCCAAAAAGATACAGGTCTCACCTTGCAATTCCTTCTCCAACTTCCATTCTGAGAAAGTTTACAACCCTCACGGATGAACCCACCTCCTTGGATAGATTATCCAGCACCACCTGCAAAGAGACATGAAAGATACTAGGTAAAGAATTAACAAATAAACAAACTGGCTCCTTAGATGGATGCTCCACAATCGACAGACTCTATACATATATTATAAATAGCACATTTTGGATGTGTGTCTCTTGTGGAGTGAGGAGTAAATCTTGACTACATAATATATTACTATATGCATAGATGGTCAAGATAAAAGTTTTTTAAACAGTGACAGGATTTTATAAGTTCTATGATCCCTTAGAAAAGACATGTGACTGTTTAAATATTAATCATGTATACATATGCATTATGCATGCATGCGTATCTACAAACATTATTACATACATACAAATGTATATAATGCTACCTCTGAGTGATGGTTTTGAAATCAAGAAAAATGTGTTTGCAGGCATTGCACACAATAAATCACCTTTCACTGGTCATTGACCATAAGACATCTTAATACCCACTTAGAATTTGAATTGCTTTAAAGTTTCGAGGCTACTGGCTGCCCACAGATCTATATTTCATATTTGAGTGGTAGAAACTAGAAAGTTCTTAGATTCCCTGAAGCAAACACGGGTTGAATGGATGGAAACTGGTCTGAATTGCTATAATACCGAATACTTCTCAAGACACTTGTTAAAGAATCAAATATAGTAATGATGTATTAGAAGTTGTATAGTCAATTCTTCAGAAGTCTTTTTATACCCCTTTCAACACAAAACTACCTTCTTTTTTTTTTGGACTCCTTAACACGTGCCCTTAGAAGCAACGTAGAGTCAAGCACGAGATCTTAAGTAGGATCGGCCGGAAGATGCAAGATCGTAAAACTAGGAATGTAGCACGGCACGTAAGATCTAAGGAGGGGAAAATTACACACACACAAAAGCATGCAAATCATAATACATAGACATAACATATAAATCACAATATTCAACCAATTTAATTAATAACTCATAACTATCGTTCCATAACTTAATAAGTTCAAAGACGTCATAATAAGTATTCAAAAGACATAATCATCATCTTCAAAAGACTAAGCTCAAAGTACATATCAGAGGGGCGGAATGGAATATTGAAGTTAGGTCTGAATGGGGAAGAGGGGTAGGGTGGAATGGGGAAGAGGGAGCGTGAAGTTGCAGAGGAAGTCGTTCTCGGGTTTAAAAAGAGGTAGTTTCGTGTTTGAGAAAGTTGTGGTTTACCGCCCAACACTCTATCACATATAACACCGCCGGTCTTACGGCTGACCAATAAAAAATTCTCTTCAGATTGACCGATACATCCTTATCACATAAAACATGTGCTGCTCTCCATTTCAAAGTTTACATCTCTTTCTATTTCACTTTGTGCTAAAATTACATCTCTTACGGAAGCTAGATGCTTCTAAGACTTGCATCCAAGCCTTCAACCTCCCATTTAATTCCTGCCCCGACTCGTCCAATAAGACTATCATCTACAAAAAGCATTCATCTTGATGCCGGATCTTGGAGGGGATTTGTAAGTCCGTCCAAAACTAACTTAAAAAGATAAAAGAGGAGAAGGAAATATATACAAATACAATAAAAAAGAAAAGGAAAAGAGTAACCGGCAACTGCTAGTAAACCACCTATGATTTAGAGTCTGGCCTTTCCCCACTATTTAATACATGAAAATCTAAATTCCCCCCACCCTGCCTGTTTCTTCCTCTCTAATTTATAAATGTATTAGTAAATAATAACTGCTTCCCCTGATCCATTCAATTTTGTGGCCTTCTCCTGGCGTAAGCCTTTAACATAAAAGGTCTAGTACTACCTGTCTCTCAATTCTTATTTCTTAAATAAGAGATGAAGGAGAAATTACAATTTTTAGATATCCCAGGTAAGGTTCACGTGGAGTATAGGCGAGTTCAAAGTTTTAGATATCCATAATCATTGAAAGGAAGTAGGACTTTTGAATGATGTAACTAGAACAAATGGCCTATGGCATTTCGAAGTAAGAAACAAACTCTTATTCCCCAAGTTCACCTTCTATTTCACTTTTTTTAATTGAGAACATCATGGTTGAGACCTTACGTTTCACTAGTCGCCTAACACTGATCAGGGGGAATGTTAGGATTATAAATACCATAGAAAACAGATCCTAATACTGATAGTTTACATTAGTCCAGAACTCCAGATACTTCTCACCAGCTTCATTCAGATGACTAGGAGACTCAAATGAGATCCATTACTTTTTAGCAAAAATACATGGATTGCAACCTTTGACACAATAAGCATGGTTCTTAGAGCACCAACAAACCACCTTTGGTCCAGAACAAAAGCAAAGGTTTATAGATCATTTACTAAAAAATCATGTCAATTTGGATTTAATTAAGCTATTAAAATCTAATTGTGAAGTTGGAATTGAGTCGGCTACCTGAATCAAATTTTGCCATATTGTCCTATCCAAGATCATGCTTCTATTCAATTGGTTAATCTTGATATCTTTTTCAATAGTTTCTCCTTACAACGAAATCTATAGGTCTTCTCTCTACATGTTCAAACCACCTAAACTTATTTTTCACCATCTTTTCTACTATAAATGTTACCCCAACACTTTGATATTGTCATTTCTAATCTCATCTCGTTTACTCTTACCACACATCCAACGCAACATCCTCATCTCTGTTACACTTACTTTATTCTCGTGTTAATTCTTAACCGCCCAACATTTTGTCTCGTACAACATCTCAGGTCTTACCACTGATAAAATTTTCCTTTCAGGTTAAGTGGTAATTTTGTGTCACATAAAGCTCTTAAAGTCCTCCTCCATTTCAGCCAACCAGCTTGAACTTAATGGTTTGCATCACCTTCTATTTCTCCATAGTTTTGCATTACGGATCCAAGATATCTAAACCGCATAACTTGTGGGATGATATGGTCTCCAACATTCACCTCTAGGGCAGAAACGCTTCTCCTTTTGCTGAACTTACATTTCATATATTTGTCTTACTTCTGCTTAGACGAAAGCAGTGTTTCTAAGACTTGTCTCCAAATTTCCAACCTCACTTAAGTCCTCCTGCGACTCTCTAAGTAGGCCTATATCATCTCAAAAAACATACATTTCGGTGCTAGCTCATGAATGCTCCATGAGTACATCCAAAATCAAAGTAAAAAGATAGCGGCTTAGGGTTGAACCTTGGTGCAATCCTATTGTAATGGGGAAATCGTTCGTCTCTCCATCTTGTGTCAGCACACTAGTCGATACCGCTTCATATATATTTTGGATAGCTTGAGTATAAGCAATCCTAACTCCTTCCTTCTCTAGGGCTTTCCAAAAAATCTCTCTAGGCACTCTATCATGCGTCTTCTCCAAGTCAATGAAAATTAAGTGGAATTCTCTTTGGTTCATTCGATACTGCTCTATCACACGTCGTAGTAGATAGATCGAGCTCTCAAATATAAAACCAAATTGATACTTAATAACTTGAGTCTCTTTTCTTAGTCTCCATTCAATTCTCTTACTCATAACTTCATGGTATGATTTATAAGTTTGATCCCTTATAATTTGCACAATTTTGTATATCCCTCTTGTTCTTATAGTTTGGAACTAAAGTGTTTCTTCTTCATTCATCTAACAATTGCTTTGACCTCATAATTTGGTTAAAAAATTTGGTGAGCCACTCAATGCCTCTAACCCCAAGAATTTTCCACACTTTAATAGGTATGTTGTCTGACCCAACTGCCTTATTGTTACACATCCTTTTCGACGCTTCTTTTACTTATTTTTTAATCTGACGGTAGTAATTATAGTTTCAATCCTATTATTTAATGTCAAGTTTGTTAGATTCTAGTGAGACATCATATCCTTTATTAAATAAATTATAGATATATCTTCCACCTATCCTTTATATCCTTATTCTAAACCAAGACTTCGTCTGCTTCATCTTTAACACGCTTCACTTGATGCAAATCTTTTGTTTTTCTTTCTTTTCCCTTAGCAAGCTTATATATAGACTTTTCTACTTTCTTGATTCCTAAAGATTGGTATAATCCGTCAAAAGCTTGTATTCTTTCTTCACTCATCGGCTTTTTGGTCTCTTTCTTAACTTTCTAATATTTTTTCCAAGTTTCGACATTTTTACACCTAAACCATTTTTTAAAGCATTCTTTTTTTACTCTAACTTTACTCTATACGCTTTCATTCTACCACCACGATTCTTAACCCCTATGTCTAAAACCTCTTGATTATCTCAACGTCTCCATAACTGGGTCATCTTGTTCCACATCATTTGCACTATTTTGTGGTTGTCTTAACCCACCCTCCAAGATCTTGTGTTGGAAACTCTCTTATTTTTCACCATTCAAATGTCACCACTTGATCCGTGGAGCTCCTATATGGCTTCTTCTCTTCACTCTCTTCTTGACTCTAACAACTATAACCAATACTCTATGATGGGTAGTCAAACCCTCTACTGATATAACATTACAATCCAAACAAATCTTCCTATTTGACTTCCTAATAAAAAAAAATCTATCTGAGAACATGTCACTCCACTCTTATACGTAATAAAATGTTCATCTCTTTATTTCTCTTTGTGTAATCTCTCTCTCTCTCCTATATATGGGGCAAGGGTGTAATGATATAAGTAAATACTGAAAGCTCTCTTACATTGCCAGTGGCGAACCATATGCTCATTTTTATGGTTGAAATGGAAATGGTAGAAACCAAGATATCATGTCAGGAAATGTTTTCCCTTTCTAAGAATAAAGAGAGTGTCGAATGAAATTTAAAGGTAAAAGACAGATTCTGAACCAATCCAAGCATGGATAGAATTTTCTTTCTTTCATCCATCAAAATACCAATATTCGCAAATAAATACAACCATCATAATTAAATTCTCATAAAATAATCAAATTTGATTTAGAGAATAAGAGAAACCTCACATACCTTCACTTTCATAGTATCATTCATAACAAACTTTTGGTCCATAAGCACAACATCCTCAAAGTACTTGCGCAGACGCCCTTCAACCATTTTATCTATGGTCGTCTGAGATTTACCAGAAGCTTCTGCCTGAAATATAAAAACCAAAATAGAGTCTTGAACAAAAAGTTTTTGTTATTTTCTATAATGTGGTAAAGAAACTGGCACTTCAGCACATGAACTAGATTAACGTTGAGCATATTACATTTTCTGAAGTGATTTTTTTCTTAAGTGCTATTGAATAGTGGTTTATCAAAAAAGTTGAATTAGTCAAAACTAGGACAATCCTAAATCCATACTCGATACTCTAGAGCCACTAATGATGGCTCTCATTTATGAAGGCATATTCATGTGTAAAGGGCATGAAGGTTGCCATTCTTGTGAATGGCCATAAAGTTTAGAGAGGTTGATCCAAATGCCAGATTTGCCAAAATGAACAAAACCTTTCTGGTCAAAGTATATTGGCACCCAACTAAACTACAAGCTATCTTAACCCCAAAAACCCTACAAGACAGTCTTAAGCCACACATTGGAAGAAACTTGGGGCAGGCAGTTACAGGAAGGAAAATTGCATGTATGCAAGCATTGAAATTTTCACATCAAAACCTGATTTAGAAGATCAAAACTATTAAGACGATTACTGATGAGGAATAAGTTATTCTAAATTTTTCAAGATCGTAGCTATGAAAGCTTAAGCATGTGACCATAAGTCTATCACAATTATGATTCACATAATAGCATGGATATATCATTATTCATAAGTTCAAAAGAAATCACAGAATAACAATACCTGAGATTTAAGAATTTCACGCTCATTTTCTAATGCATCTAAAGATACAAGTTCCCTTGTTAAAAATAATGGTTTTGCCGCCACTACATGCATGGCCAACTCTGATCCAACACGTTGAAGTGCATCTGCATGTGTTTTATCACCATCAACTTCAAGCGATAAGATTCCAGCAATGCGACCCAAACCTAATCAAACAGAAGGATGTCAGGATCTACAATATAGTCATGTTTTTAGGTGCGGCGTAGAATTTGGTACTTAGCACAAGATGTCATAAGAAGAAATAATAACAAATTTGTGCGTACGGCATGCAGTGATGGCAATTGATTTTTGAATGAACTGATTTGTGTGTACAACTGTCTATATGAGGCAATGTGGAAATGCGAGATTGAGAAATGAATTATTAGTGGAACGAGTGAGTTACCAGGTTGGGGACTGGTATGAAGATATGTAGATACAAGACCATTAGATGGTGCAGGCATGACATAAGCTCTTGTAAGTTTTACATTCTCTCCCATCATGGCAGCTACATCTGTGATAGCATTTTGAACAGTAGTTTCTCCATTGATCTTTGGATGTTCAAGATTCAATCTTATATCCTGGTTAAAGAAGAATTTAACATTCACTCATTTCATCATCATAGCAAGAGTTTTAAAAATCTATCTACGGCAGCGAAACAGCCACGACAAAATGGCATCTGCCGATACCTCTATATTACAATTAATTCACACAGCGCATTCAGTGTCGACACATGTAAGGACCGAAATAGCGAAAAGAAAAAAGAGGTTAGTTACCTGGAAAGATTGAGGTCCAAAGTGAAACGAAGAAGAATTATTATTATGGAGCAACAAAGCTTGGTTAGCGAGAGATAATGCCAAGTGTTGAAAAATGTCATTTCTAGCAACGAAATCGGTTTCGCAGTTGAGTTCAATGAGTGCGGTTTTGTGGTGGTTTTGAGCTAGAGCGAGCAAACCTTCGGAAGCAGCACGAGATGATTTTTTGGAAGCGAGAACAATTCCCCTCTTCCGGAGTTCCTTCTGAGCGGCGTCGATGTCCCAGTTCGAATCCACCAGTGCTGCTTTCACGTCTTTAATAGGAGCGCTTGTTCTTTCTCTCAATTGCTTTATCAGATTCATTTCATTCGACGCCGAAAATGATGAATACTTGGCGGCGGAGGTGAAGAGTTTCATGTAAGCACGTCTGCCGGCGCCGCTTAAACCCGCCATAGCTTCGCTCGAGGGTTAGGTTGCCTGGAATTATTTGTTGTGTTAAGCAAGTTTCTGAAAATAAATTAATACGTGGCTAATTCTCAAAACCCGTTCGGACTCATTTTCTCAAACTAACAACATTTAGGGTGTGTTTGGCTGTCAAGTGAAAATGAGAAGAGAGAAATAGGTGAGAGAGAATATGAAAAGAAAAAAATCTCAAAAATATATTAGATTTGATGAATTGTTCGGTAAAAGACAAATAGAAGAGAAATTGAGAAAAAAGAACCGTTTGATAATTTTTAAAAGTTTAAATATGTCTCTATATAACTCACTCATTAATTTTTTAAATTATAGCTAATCAATTTTTAATAATTGACTTCGTGTTAGTTAATTAAATATATTGATTGAATTTTTTTATGTAACTATTAATTATTTACACTTTTTAATTTAACATAACATATAAATTAAGTGCATAAATTTACATACATTTTAGATGGGACATTATTTAGCTTAAAAGTAACATAGAATTTAATATAACATAGATTTTAATATTACAAAATTTTAGATGGGACATTATTTAGCTTAAAAGTAACATAGATTTTAATATTACGTGAAAGACACAATTGGAATAATATAAAAAAAGTTGATGATCTGAAAATATTATCTTTGTCTTTATTTTAGAAATTGCCACTTCATTACTTTTGGAGCATTTTGTGTCTAAATAATACGTTTTGCAACCAATGATGTCACATTGTTCAATTCCAACTACATAATTATTGTATTATGTCTTTGACAGTTAGCTTTTGATCAATTGATGATGTCATATGGTACTATTGCAAGGATCTTCTTTCCAAAATTTAGGTTTAGGTCACATTTCCCCTATCAGTGCAGTTTTTTCATTTCTCTCTTCTCTCTGTTTTCTCTTTCTTCTCTCCATCTTCTTCAATCTTTTCTTTCATCTTTTGTCTGCTTTACTCTATTTTCTCATTATTTTATCTCTTCTGGCGGATCTGAAATGGGTTACTATGTAACTGAAAACATCATAACCAGAGTTTGATGAATTTGTTTAGAGAATGTTGTTTCGATTGCAAGCAAACAAAAATATGTATATTTGGTTTTAAGTTGTTGATTCAATCTCAAACGAAAAGGATGGAGATCTTATATTTGGTTGCGGTAACGATTTCAATTTATGTGTTCTTCTCTCTTTTGGGTTACTTTTTGCTAAATTTGTTATGTTTTTTCAGTATCGGATATGGATAACTCTAAGATCGCAGTCGTCAAAATGGTTTGTTTCTAAAGGTTAGTTCTTCGACAATCTTCTTCTCACTATGTTTGTTTCAAAGTATGATTTTTTTTGTATTGTGTTCTTTTTGTTCAACCTAAAGCATTCAACTCTGCAATTACTTTTCGTTATGTGTAGATAAGGAAGTTGTTATTGTTTGTTGATAGTTGTGATATTTTTAAAGGTTCAAGATTTCTACAATAAGCTATTTTTCTGGAGTAAATGAGATACCTCTGGTTTATTTTCTATATTGTTATTGTGGATACAAGTTGTTATTGATGGTACGTGGAGAGTGTGTTCTAAGTCTGACGCGTCCATTGAGTTTGCTGGCTTTAATGGTCAATATTTGTTATTGTTTATTTGGACATTAAATTTAAATTTTCTATTAATGGAAAGCTTACACATGGTTAGAAATTTTTGATTTGTTTTGTAAGTATAAATATGTTTATTTCTTTAACTTGATTTGAGTGTGAAAACTTTGTTGTTCTATTTATTTTTGTAGAAAATGGACATGTTAAACCTGCTACTTATTTGGACTCGCATGAAAAGTTTCTAATAAGTGTAGTAACAAAAGAAAGTAAATTAGATGCTTTTTCTATTAATTAGATGTCTATTTTATTTTTATTAGTGATTTCTATTTCCTTTTATTGATTTGGCCGCCTCAAAGAATAGGGATGCCAAAGGTAAGTTGTTGCAACAGTTAAATAAAAAAATTGAAGTTAGCAAGACAATTAGTCAAAATTTTCTAATCATTGTTCCATTTCTATTCATTTGGTTAGTAATGAATGGATTAGTGAAAATTTGATGGTTGATTGTCTGATGGCCTGTACTTTTGGTATAAGTTGCCAAATTTTAATACATACCATGGTAATTTGAGTTCATTGGCTATGATATGACATTTAATGGTTTTCATAGATAGAATTTTGACTTCTCTTGTGAAAGTTACAAGTATATAGAACAGGGTTTTGCAAAGTTGTGCAAGAAATCTGGTAGCCATGATGCTCTTATTATCTTTGTTATATGGCGATGTTGTCTTCGTGAAAATTACAATTGGTAAAAGATGTGGCTTTGTTCAACTTGGTGTTAGGTAACACTTGTGGTATTGCCAATAGCATCAGTAGTGTGTTATATTATCATTATTTTTGGGGCATTTTCATCGTAACCATGTGCATGCATCACCAATTAATGTTTTCATATCATCGTTATTTTTTGGGCATTTTGTGTCTAAATAATATACGTTATGTTTTAATGTCTTTTGCTTTTTTTGTAACAGAAAGAATGTTGAGGAAGTTATTCAGAAATTGAATGGAACAGTGATTATGAAGCAGATTGTGCATCTTTTTTGGGTCGTTGTTTAGGAAATAAGCATCTGAGTTATATTTTCTTCTACTCTGAACTTAATTTATTCGTCAGTTTGATGTTTGTGTACTAAATATTCTAATCTAAATTTTGTCATCATAACCATGTACATGCATTGTAACGCCCCGATTCTGAATTCCCATTAATTGTTGAGTCTTTTAATTTATTTAATTGATGTTTGTTTTAAATTGAGAAATTATATATTACTATGTGGTGTTTGCTTATTTTATCTATTTTTACCGATTCGGAGAGTTTTCGGGGAATTAGAGTAAAAAGGGCATTTTAGACATTTAGCAATTTAGTGTGAGAATTGATTGGTAAGTGTTGGAAAGAATTTGAGAGGAAAGAAATAGAGATAGAAATAGGATAAGAGAGGAAAAGAAAGAAAAATAGTAACCTAAGAAGAAAAACAAGAGAGAGAAAAGAGGAGAAGAGAAAGAGAAGAGAAAGTGGAGAGGAAAACCTAGAATCATCAAGGGATCATCACCAAAGCTTGCAATCGATCGGTAAGGGTGTGAAACTCCATCATCTCTTTAATGTATATGATTGTATGTGTATGTGTTTGGATTTTGTAGAGTTTGTACTCTTTTTCCACTTAGGTTAGAAGTTGGTTTGATGAGTAGAAAGAGGTTTTAATCGGTTAGAACTCGGATTAGACGATGTAGTTTAGTCGGGTGATGGTAGGGTTGTGCCACTGAGACTGGTTTGGATTTAATCGGTTGGTTGTGTGGAGTTTGGGCTTTGGAACAGCCATGGAGGTTCTGTCTTCGCAGGCTCGCCAGGCGAATGGCAGCGAAGCTTCGCCAGGCGAAGCCCAGCGAGCTGCAGCGAAGCAAGTCAGAAGCAAACACCCTGTCTTCGCTGGCAAGTTCTCCAGGCGAAGTGAGTTGGCGAAGGTTCGCAAGGCGAGTGTGTAGCGAGCCTCAGCGAGTAATTCCAGAATTACTCCCAGTGGACTTCGCTGGGAAGTTCGCCAGGCGAATGCCAGCGAGCATTCGCTGTGTGGCTTCGCCAGACGAAGGTTGGCGAACCTGACAGTGTTATTTGTTTTGCTGTTTATTCATAGCATGATTTTTTGGCCGATTCAATTATGATTAATGCCTATATGAATGATTGATATGTGAACTGTTTCGACATGTCGTGCTGTGGGTGGCTGAAAGGCGTGAATCCTAGATTGTAGAGCCAATGGTGAATCTTGAACGTTTGATAATCTTGTGTATTTGCTTGAATTGAATAGAAACGCATTGATAGGATGATATGTGTGTAAACCATGTGTGAAATGGTGCATAATGTGAATGCATGATAGATATATGTGATGTATGTGATAAATGTAATGAGTATGTTTGTGAACATAGTATGCATTCTGTGTTGATCGATCCCTCGGAGGATTAGCATTGTGTAGCATCTTAGTATGCATTTTTGTGTTGAATGATCCCTCGGAGGATTTGCAGAACCTCGTATGATACGATGGTTACATTAGATTCCTTGGAGAATCGGTTGCATTGTGTGATTCCTCGGAGAATCGGTCATAACATGTAATCCCTTGGAGGATTGACTAGAGTATTTGATTTCGTGGAGAATCTGCAGAGTATTTGATTCCGTGGAGAATCTGCTGAATATTCGATTCCGTGGAGAATCTGATGAATATTTGATTCCGTGGAGAATCTGCTGAATACTTGATTCCGTGGAGAATCTGCTGAATACTCGATTCCTTAGAGAATCTGTTGAAATGAGTCGGTACCGCATTTGCATCTGCATAGAGTCGTGTGTCGGTCTCTATGAGTTGCATGAGTCATCTGTGTATGATGCATTAGTTGTATGAATGTAACTGTGTATGTTATATATGATTGTTTGGAGGAACATATAGTGAATGTTCATGAGCATGTGTAGAGGCATGATTAATTGTATATGCTTAATGTGGTGAGAACATAATTTGAGTATAACTTATACAAATATGAGTATATGTATATATACAATTTTATGCATTAACTGTTATGATATTGTTTCTCACCCTTCTGCTGTTTTATAATGCTCTATGAGGCATTGCAGAGTAGGAAGCTGGAGGTTCTTTTTGTGAAGCGATGTCTTCATTCTTTTTGGTCAATGGCTCTGATATGTAACATCTGGGTAGTTAGGAAGCCTTTGACTCCTTTGGAGTTACATTTGTTTTGATTCCTTGTGATACATCTGTGTATGTATCCGCTGTGGATATGGTTGTAAAGCATGAATTGATTGAATGGTTGTATATACTTTTATGAATGTGATCGATTCAATATTTGGATGTTTCCGCTTTTATTCTAAATATTGAGATGTGGGTTACCCATTGTTGCATATCTATTTTGAGCAGGTATCGTATGTGTTTAATTTCGTGATAATG